TGTCTGGAAATCCCAAGAATGAAGTTCTTGATGTTTGATATGATTTCCTACAGCTACAACTTTATCTTCTTTGATAAGCTCTTTTATTTTTATGAACCACAGCTGAGAACTTATCAAAGACCAGAACACTCTTAACCTCAATGTACCTATAATGATTTATTGTTGACATTATAAATTTAAATGCCCAATGTAATAACTTAAGTTCAAAAGTGTTATCAAACTTCACTAGGACAGATGTCTTTCTTTACTAGTATGATATGATTGTTGTAATATGAAATTATATCTTGATTAATTAGACAAAGATGGCCACCGGCATTCTCCATTGTTTTTCCTAAAGTCTTCATTTTGGTCCAAACATCAAAATACTCATCATGAAGTCTTTCAGAATGAAATAAATCCGGAGCATTTCTCTGATGACTCTTTTGAACCAGTGTCTCCAGAATTCCATGAAAAAGAGGCCATAAGGTAATTAAGAAATTATGTGACTATGTATACCTATAGGTAAAAACTTAATAAACTAAGCTGCAACAGGGCCAGCCGTAGGTCAAATGTTGATATAGATGATGTTTTCCTTTCTTTCAGCCATTCTGCCATAATTCTAAATTTCTCTCATTCACTATTATGAAAATAAATACTGTTAATATTGTCAACAGTAAAATTTAGGAGCCCTATTCACTTTCTTGCCCCTCATCTTTTGTCTTCTATCTTATAATCCCCCATCATTTATACTTTGCTCTCTGCTTTGTCTTCTAAACACACACATATACACATACATGTTATGTATATGTATATAAAGTATGTGTATATAAAATATGTTGTACATGTGTTTTTCATACTTAGACTATCTCCTTTAGGTAGTGTAGGGTCTGAAATTTCAAAGTCAAAAGCTCTCTCAACAATTTAATAGCTTTGTGGCTTTTTGTTAAACTATATATGTACTCTCTAAGCCTCATTTTTTTTTTTCATTTCTAAGGAGAGTGGAATATGTGTGTCATCTTTAGTAATATAAAGAATCAATAAGATAATTAAGTATATATGCCTGTTACATAACAGGAACTATGTAGATGTCAGTTCTGTATCCAAATCAGTTTGATTGATTGAAGGGGTATAGAAATAAAAAATAATACAGGGAGGACTATCGGTAAAGGATTTTAAGGGAAACCAGGAAGATATACTTCTATAGACAATGACTGCTTAATTCGTCATTCTGTCATAATTTAGTGCATACTTCTCTAGGCATTTGCTTATTTCATTGAAGATTATTGAGAAATATTCTTAAGTGACATCTCATTTATGCGAAGTTATCTTTCTTTATTTTTTTTTTTTTTAAGACAAAGTCTCACTCTATTGCCTGGGCTAGAGTGCCTTGGCATCAGCCTAGCTCACAGCAACCTCAAACTCCTGGGCTCAAGCGATCCTTGTGCCTCAGCCTCCTGAGTAGCTGGGACTACAGGCATGTGCCACCATGCCCGGCTAATTTTTTCTATATATTTTTAGTTGTCCAGCTAATTTCTTTTCTATTTTTAGTAGAGACGGGGTTTTGCTTGCTCAGGCTGATCTCAAACTCCTCAGCTCAAACGATCCACCCACCTTGGCCTCCCAGAGTGGTAGGATTACAGGCGTGAGCCACCATGCCCGGCCTATGTGAAGTCTTTCTGAAAGTATATTTTGAGGAAACAGTGAAGCACAGTGATTATAATGTAGACCATAGATTTAAAATACCCAGTTCGAATCCTGGTTTTGCCACTTCTTAATTGCATAATCCCAGCTAAATTACTTAACCTGCCTGTGCTTTTAGAGTACATGTAAAGCTTTTAGAGTAGTGCTTGGTCCATAATATATATTCAATAAATGTTAGCTGTTATGAATATCCCAAATAAGTTCAATCAATTAGACTTATATCAATTCACCTTATTTAAAAACAGGTAGAAGGTGATTGTGAAAGTGTCTGGAAGAAGTGGGAAATGAGGAGAGACAGTAGGAAAAGGAGAAAACTCTAAGCTGACATGGAAAAATCAAGGAGAAAGTTCTTTATTTCCTAGAGTTAAAGGAACTTCTCAAATTCTACCATTTTTTAATAGTCTTTAAAATTCTATTCCCTGCACGAAGACTTTTATAGCTATTCCAGTTTATCACATTCCTTACTATTAACTCTTATAGTCATTATGTTGACACCAGAAAATTTAGTATTGGGGCACTTAACAAGTTAAATTAGGACCAAATTACATTAGTTCCTCCTTTGTCAGGCCAAAAGCTCATCTTCTAGAAACATGGTTCTATAAATGCTCAGGACCATGAGTCTGACCCATATTCATCCAGTGGGTAAATGGGCATGATTGTGTGAGTTGAAGAGGGGTTAGTTATTTAGCTCTCTTAACTAAGTGGATAATACTAGTCATCTTGTTCAGTGGCCTTAGGTCCAATTTGCCCTTAATATTTTAATATAAGCTGAGTATACGCTCAAGAAAATGTGACAGCTCTAGCCTGTGTAAATCTGCACACTATGTCATCTACCTTGACATTCCCTCTATCTGTACCTAATTGTCTAACATGCCTCAAACCAGAATCTCTTTGATCATTCTGGACCAGACTGTTCCTGTTGACAAATTAATTACTTCATTAATTTATTTATCATTCATTAAGCCCTCTGCTAAAATTAGGATACAGAGACTAATGACAGAGTTTCACCTCAGAAAGTGCAGAGTCTAGGGGGAAACAGGCATTTCAATAGGTAATTAGTAAAAGGAGTGGTAGAGATGAACACAGGAATTAAGAGAACATAGCAAAGGATCATCCAGCCCAGCCTAACATAGTGGCGGAGGTCAGAAGCAGACAATTCTTGATGTGAGTGTTATATGGGAAGAAAAGGTCTTGGTCATACAAAGTATGGTAGGATATGTGAAAGTCTTCCCACATGGGGATACGGCATGAGCAACATAGGACAGCCAGAGACAGCGTATATGTCTAGGGAGCACAAGGAAGTGACATTTCTGAGCTTAAACTACAACACTAGAAGAGGGAGAGGCAAACTTTAAGAGATAGGGACCAAATCAGATCATGGAGGATTTTGTTTGCCAAGTTAAGAAGAGCAGTCTGTCTTGTATAGTGTGGGGAGATCACTGAATGATTTTAGATGACCATACTCTTGATGAGATGTGGACCAAATAAGATCATGAAGGAGTTAATTTGCCAAGTTAAGAAGGGCAGCCTGTCTTGTATAGTGTAGGGGGATCACTGAGTGATTTTAGACAACCATACTCTTGACAGATCGCTTTGGCAGCTTTGTGGAGAATGGATTTGAGGGTGATGTAACTGGAAAAATGGAAACATTTAGGAAGTTTTATCAGTCTGGGTCTGGTCAGAAAAACTGCATTGTTAGAAATATTGTGGGAGTAAAGCGGTTTAATATAGGAATGAGGGATTCATAAATGTGCAATGGTTGGAGGAGAGAAGGTCAAGAAAGTTGTAGCCAGAAAGTCAGGGAAACAACTACTGAGGACGTTAGCCTAATGCACAGAAATGAGTGGTTTTCAAGAAGTTTGTTGGTAAACTGTTGCAAGTGTCAGGGATTTTCTAGGAAAGCTCCCACCAGATATCTTAACCTTCAGCAGCAGAGCGGTGCTTGTCAAGAAGTCTTAGAAGCCACTACAAGCCTCAGTCCACCTATGCGTTTAGCCCCTATGACCTTCAGAGGATAAGGACCTTCATTCATTTCTGCTCCCCAAATGTTTCCCAAGTTCTTATCATGACAAAGTCCAATACTGAGAAGGGGATTCCGGGAAACCTAGTGCCTGGCATGTCCTTCGCATTGCAAAAGAAAAGAGGCCAGTGCTGATGCAAAGGGGATAACTAACAATCAACAGAGACATCATAGCCTTGGTTGAGGTGAAAGATGATAAGAGTCTGGACTAGAAGGTCAAAGGCAAGTGATCAAAGGATAAATTCAATTAGATTCATAAAGTTAAACTCATAATTTCCTGATGTTAAATTATGATAATTTTGTAGGTCACAGGATGGGATGAGAAAGGGAGAGACAGTCAAGTATTCCTTTCAGGTACCAGCTTGAGTTCCTGAGTGGATGATGGAAACACTGACTGAGATAGAGAATGGAAGTGACACTTACTCTGATATACAGTAATTTCAAAGGAGACTTGAAGAGGTTTATACCATATCCCCACCTCTAGAACTGCAGGATCTTCCAGAGTTGATAGGGTTCACTCACTTGGTAAGATATCTGTAGTCAGGAGGTGAAAAGCCTCTACAGGGAGAACTACAAAACACTGAGGGAGGAAATTGCAGAGGATGCAAATGGATGGAAAAACATCATGCTCATGGATCAGCAGAATCAACATTGTCAAAATGTATATACCACCCAAAGTGATCTACAGATTCAGTTGTAATCCCCATCAAATACCAACATCATTTTTTGCAGGTCTAGGAAAAACAGTTCTATGGTTTCTATGGAACCAGAAAAGACCCCGAATAGCCAAAGCAACCTTAAGTAATAAAAACAATTTGGAGAGGCATCATTTTACCAGACTTCAATGTATACCATGAGGCTATAGTAACCAAAACAGCATGGTATTAGCACAAAAACAGCAATGTAGACCTATGGATAAGAACAGAGAATCCAGATATAAAACCAT